TTCTACGCTTAACACTTAACTCGAAAGCACTCCTTAATCGCTTTCTACGAAAATAATAATCCCATCATATTTAATTGATATTAGTTTCTTTTAATTAAAGTCTGGTTAAGGGTTATTTTAAAACTCAAATCACATGCAGATTAAAAGGACGTTGAACTGAATTTGAGGAGACGGCTCTCAATAATAAACTCTTTTGATGTAAATAGTTTTCCTGCAAATAATTGTTTTTAGCTTCCATCAATGACCAGTAAATTACTTATGTATACTTGTATATGTATATATTTCTCCCGCTTTTAAACTCAACTCAAGCGAAAATAAATAAATATTTATTTTGAAGGGCGAGAGGGACAAATGGTGTCTCGTCTATTCTTCTATAACCTAATTGTGAATGGTGTTTGTTTACTTAAAAATAATGAAAGCTTGCACACGTCTTCAATAAATTATTCAGCCATGTTCCAGTTATCTATTATTTCAATCATTTATGGAATATACAGTAAGGAGGATGTTTATTATTGCCGCGTGACGTTAAGGGCGACTGACGTAATCAATGATATTGGCCAAACAGCAAAATATTAGCGCCAGCTGACGTTGACGTTGATGCATCGTTGTAATACCAACAAAATCATTAATAAACATAAAATCTCCATTTTAATAGGCAAAGCCCAAGGTCATTAGAGCGCTCTGTTCACATTTATAGGAGCCGCGTATTTTCTTTCAAAATTATTTTCCTCCCATACAGCAGTTTTTACGCGTGCAACTGGCGTTCATGCACAAACACATACATACGGGAGCATAAAATGGCATTTTAACTCATCCATCAATATCAATATTCGTAATGGGCGTGAAAATAAGAACCATCCGACAAGCTGAAGAGCTTATGTAAAAATAAAAAATAGAAATGCGAGCGTATAAAGGCAGTAATATACATATGCAAACACATATAGATAGAGAAATATCATTTGGTATGTGTGTATAAATTGTGATATTTATGGTGGTCAATATTTATGAACCCCTAGACAAGTACATACAAGTATGTACTAGTATATTGAAGGTTCTTATATAAAAGATAGCAATATTGAACTCAGCCTCTTTTATATGCTATTATAGTGTATGTCTTATGACATATTTGGACGTTTTCGTGTAATGTACTTGTATATTGTTAGTTTGGTATTAGGCTAGGTAGAGTTGTAATCTAAATATATGTATGTCAAAGATGTGTTTTATCCGATTGAAAATCTAATAGATGACGCTGAATCGAATAACGTATCTACCATCTAATTAACGATGATATTGAGAACAAAATACTGCCGATTGGAGTTGGAAAAAGCAATCACGAAATCTTCGAATTTAGTATTGATCTGCGGACTTCCATATTTTGATTTCTCAATCTGTCTTTATATGTTTATATATGAGGTTTCTATAACTAAACCAATCTTTTAAAATGTTTTGAGGACTTACAGGACTCAAGAGTCTCAACTAAGAATAAACAAAAGTAATAGAGTGGCATTACTGTTTCTCAGCGAGGCAAATATATGCATTACAAATTGCAGAAACTCATATAATGGCTAATGACATCTATACATTCTATATCCTTCCAAGTGGTTATATAAGCTATTAAGTTTTGACGAGCTTTTTCATCATAAAACTGAAAAGAAGCTTTTTGTCAATAATTATTGCAAAAATCGCACTTAAACAAATTTTACGAACATCACCTTGTGAGCATTCAACGAGTTAGAGGTATAGTATCACATAGCAGGTACATCAATTCAGTTTTTACCTTTTATGACTTTCACAAAGGCAGGACGTAAACATATACTTCTATAGGTATACACAAATATATATCAACACGAATGTGTGAGCACATTATCTGTACTGATGTCCCGTTATGTAAATGTTGAACCAACGCTCTGGCAGTTATAGCAACTGCACCAACAAGCAGGAACTGCTCCGCCGATAGTTATGAATGTGACGACCTCGACTCTGCCCACGTTTGTGCATGCGACCTCAAGACTAGAGCATTATTTTTCAATTTGGGGAAGATTGTAGCAGGAATGTTAGGATATAGTATGAAGCCACTTGCATTTTCAATATTCTTCCTGATTAGAGGATACTTCGTAATATTAAGTTATTGATATATCTTATGAGCCTTTCTAGAAATAAAAAATTTGAGGCTCCACAATAAACACTGTTTATTTGAATTCTTTATATCAAAGAACAGTTTATTTTAACTAAATATTTAGACGTAAAAGGACGAAATAATGTATTTTTCAGAGTCAGTTTATTTAACTGTAAACTGGGAGTTGAACAAAATGTAGTTTTTGAGGTCTGATCATGTAACATTATATAATCTGAAACGGTATGTAGAAGGTAAAGAACAATAAACCCTTTTATAACAGTTTGAACTGTGGCTGTCTGTGCGCCGCTTGTACATCTTTTCAATTGGCTTTTCTGTTGAAAGACACTTTGATCAAGCTCAGGAAATGAAGCCAATTGTTTTTCGTTATGTACGTTAGCGCCAATTCGAAATTTAAAGTGAAGTCGGGTTCTTCTTCATTTTGTCTTTCCAAGGTAGTGGAGACCTTCTGCTTTACTATTACGAATGTGTTCGCCTCTTATTTATTTATACTCGTATCAGTATCAGATTAGGTTATATTCGCAATCATTTGGATAAATTTTCGAATAATTTAGAAAATTATAGTGAGAAACAGAGAGAGCGGTCCCATTTGAATCTAAAAGTGCTAGAAGAAACGTATCAAGGTTGATGGGATCATGTCATTATAGCAGATTATTGCTGATCTTTATAAAGGAAAAGCTCATAAAAGGCGTTTAACTGAGATATAGCATACATTTTATAAATGTTTCTCTCTGTTTACTTCGATGTATCATTAATTTTCAACACAACGCTGATTTAATAAATATATCTGTTATTTTATTTCACGTTTCCTGATTTTGGTAATGTAAAATGAAAATAAAGATTTACAAATATATTTTGCAAAACTATTGATCGTGTCATGAATTATGAGCACAAATATAGTATATAAATAATCGATACCATATTTAGGACAATAAAACCATTGTAGACCTGTGTAAATTTTTATTTCGGAGCGCAAAGTGTTTCAATAAAGTTTTTAATATATTGTATTATTGAAATTTCACCGATACCGATTTCGTACATGGCATATATTCGTAGGCATAGCAATCAAATGCTGCTTGTTTGTGTTTCACTTGTAACCGGCAATCGTTGGAGGGCATTTTGTGAGCATGTTGACTGACAACTGCGGGAGTTACGAGTTAGTGCATGGTGCGTAAAATCGAGAGGTTTCACTATCATATAAGCACTTATAGGCCCACATCAGTACATTTTCATATATAACATACCAACGCCAAGTAGTGACTGGCATCTTTTATTCTTTGCCATGACACGCACACACTACCGCCCGTTGATCTAGGCTTCGGTAATCAGGTGACCCACCTGACCTGGTGTGCAGTGAAGCCAACTAGGCCACGGGAAGTCAAATTCAAAATTAATGATGTTTGGCAGATTTCCGTAAACGTGTAGTCATTTCCATTTGATTTCATTGCCCGTGGCAGCTTTTTCCCGCAAAGTATTGGACATTCAACGCACGTCTGCCAATGGCTCTTCTACATATCTTGCGTGTCAGTATTATACATGTCTGGCCGCTTTTTTGTCTTCGCTTGCTTTCCCTATTTTGGCTGGTCTTTTGATTGTTGCCATCAACACAACACTTCTGTAGCGGAGGTTGAATACGGCATAAGGCTGGTGTAAATGAGCTCGACATTCATTGCTCCCACTTAACTAAACATATTTCGTGGTAGAGCATGGGCACTCACACAAGTAAGCATTTCTCTTCGTCGTAAGTGTTGGCGCTGTTGCTGTCATTCCATTTGATGGAGTGTTGTCTATTTGTGCAATCATAAGGCCCACCTCCAAGGCAAATATCTTTGGATAATATGATTCGAATGTGTGTGTGGAATGTTTAATTCAAATGACGTGCGAGGTAAACTAGAAAGATACAAACTGATTTATAATAATTTATAAGATATATTTTGATTAAATCTATCGCCTTAACAGCAATAAATAAATAGAAAATAAAGTAGTTTCTATTTAGGTTTCAACTGACCAGCGCCGACTTTTGGTAAAAAATCGAGCCCTATATAGTCTCTTACCCTCATTAATACATATGACCCAATTTGAAGTCTATAGCTTACTCAAATAAGGAGGTCAATTTGTAGCCATATTGAAATATTTAAATTTTTTGAGAACATGCTAACTTTGGTTAAAATATCTTTAGTGCAAGATTTATTTCTCTCCTTTGAAAGTAAAAGTAAAAATACATTATTTTTATAATAAATACTAAAAAGTCAACCACAATGGCGATAATGTAGGTTAGGTTAGGTATTAGGGCTGACACTTGATAAACCCATCATAGATCCCTTGAGAAGATTATATTCGATAGAAGTTAGTTCACCTCTAATACTATGAGATCAAAAATATTTAAATCATAGTGTTGCGCAAGCTGGGCAGTCCACAAAAAATGATGATGCTAAGATGATTCAGTCTCACTTAATTCCAGAACGGCACTATGAAGTTTGGATACGGGGTAGTGTGTTAAAACTTGGTTGTAGAATTTTGTTTGAGTCAAACAAAAATAACAATTACTTACATGATCCTTTCGGTCCAAGTCATTGGTATAGCATATGTCTGGGTTCTTGTTTAGCCCAACTTAATAGCAGTCTCACACGCGTTACATTATTTGTTTTGTATCGATATATTTGTGAATTCCTGAACTTTTCATAGGAAACTACGTGGGCGTAGTAAAATAAAGATCAGATGAAAACTCTAGAAAAGCCTTTCGCAATTATCTCCTAATGTCAACTTACCAATTTTGAGAAGGCATGCTTACTCATTTTTTTTTAATTTTTACAGAGCCTCAAAAAACACTATTTTTATCCCTTTTTGAAAAAACAAATATGCCAAATCCAATATTATTTTTAAGACTCTCGTCATTTATTTATTAGACTGAATTACATTCAAAATCGACATAACGAACATAGTTAAACGATATACAATAGTTATTTATGAAACTAAGTTCTGTTAAACGTTTATAAAGGTATGTAAATGACTCCATGGGAGACAATTCAAATATGCAAAATGCTTGCTGCCTTTTTCGTTTTATTATATATATATATATATATTTTTTTTTAATGGATTTTCGACACAAATTTGTGACTAAAAATGGACCAACAGTTTCAGTTTAAAAGATTCTTGGTTTTCTTTTTATAATATTTACTTGCCACAGTTCATAACTAAAATACAACATTTTTGACATTTAACACTAAGTTTTTATAAATTATAAAATTACAAAATATAACGAACTTAACACATTCGCGTGTGTGTCTAATATTATTAATAATAAATATATATGTATATATGTGTTATGCTTCTTCTTTCGAGTGTAACGTATAACTAGTCTATATGAACATACACCTTTCTTGCTGTTCAAATAGAGCAAGTACATTCAGCTAACGATTATTTATCAATTTGACTATTATTTACGTGTTTATTACATTATAACTACCGCTATGAAATTCGACTAATGTATTATATAACTTCGTTTCACTGCATTTTTTTCTGCGAAGTGGGATTATTGAGTAGTCATTTCCGAGATCAGCGATTAAAATCACTACTTACACGTATACACAGTTTTAACGCAACTACACTTACATACGTATGTATGTAACACATGTCAATATACTTGCACGAGTAGTAATTTGTCGCTTGTCACGTGTCAGACACACGTCACGTGACAAACACGATGCAACTGATTAATATCTACTACTACATAGACAGAACCATATGGGCTGATACGAGAGAGCGAGAGATATATATATATAGCTAGAGAGAAAATGAGAGAGACAAGGAGTTTATGGAAGATTGTGAGTAGCACAAGTAATATTTTTGTGTAGTGGAAGTGAGAGAGAGAAAGCGGTCAACGCATGCACTTTGTACGCTTTAAAGTATGCAGCATGAGCGTTCAATTTTCTTCTCTATCTTTGGCATCTCTTGTAGCGCCAGCTCGACATGCTTTCGCGCCAACCATGACTGCTTTTGCAGGCGATTTACAATAATTCGATATGTGCCGATTATATCACTACGTGGACCATTTTGTATGGCCGCACGCAACATTTCGGAGTTGACGCCCAGCTCGTCGAGCAGCTGACGCGCCTCGTATTCTAGCGGTTTCACCAATGTCAAATCATCGGTATTTGTTGGCAGCATGATAAAATCTCCCGTCTCAACATCGTAGTTTTTGAAAAGCGAACAATCAATGGCCACATCTGCATTCCATTGACGATTCTCACAACCGTTACCGTTGGCCAATTGTCGCTCCTTCTCCAATTCCATTGGGCTGACTTTCTTCTTTAGCGTACCGCAGAAGAATGAACGTTTTGGCGTGTTTGGCTTTGATGGTTCCTTCGAGAGTTCGTTGGGTAGATCACGATTGATTTCGATCGGATGTAAAAAGTTATCGACGAATACGCCGTCATTTTTGCGTGTATTCATATTAATAGGCGGCTTATTGGTCACCTCCATATAGCGTTCGCGCAATGAATACGATTTGCGCATGCGTCGTGACTTTGAGCGCACCCAGAAACCGGAACGTTTGACGGGCTTCGTACGTAAATTGATCTCATATTGCATGAGTTCGGCGCTGAGTTTTGGATAGCAAACGAATTGACTGGTGAGCATATCGTCAATAGTGGGACGACGTGCGGGGATGTGTATAAGGATGCGTTCTGAAAGTAGAGCAATAAAAATATGGTTATTAAAGAATACAAAATTTTAGTTGTATAATTACTTCAGCAAAGTTAAACAGATATAAAAGTGGCTCAATGCAAAGCCACATAACAACACCAATTCTACATTAAGGAGAGCTTTGACTTAAACGTTGATCCTTCATCAATAATAGTAAAAATACTAATATTAAGAACTGGCTTCAGAATCCAATTAGTTTGAAGTTACCCCCAAAATGTAGCGAAGAGATTGCCCCAGCAGTTAAGCAGTTAGAAAATGCTATACAGTCGGAGTTCTCATGATAAAAGAATTTTAAACAAGGCAACTAAGGATTAAAGAGTATCTAAGCAACTTAGAATATTATACCATGAAGAAAATATGTCCTACGCCACGAGATACTGTTCCAAAAGGTGGGGTAGCTATTTACCAAAATACTTACTAATATTATCACTGCGAATATTGATTAATTTATTTTTATTAATTAAAATTTTATTAAATTCCTTATTTTCATTTGCCATTAAAAAAGTTGTATCCTCAATATTATTATTTTTAAATCACCTGCTGTCTCTTCAGCTGATTTGTTCGCCTTGAGATATGCGAAAATACGCCTGAAAGTATGCAAACATTTTGGGCATACTTTGTGATCGTGTTAGGTTTATTTTCGTTACGGAATTTCTGGACTGATTATGCAATAGCTAAAAAAATCTGTTCAGATAACATTTGCATTAACAACCGAGAAATTTGCTTTAGTTTTCTTTTCTAGTTCTTCTACATAGATTTTAAGTGTAATAACTAAGATCTGTAGCAAATAAAATTGTTGTATAATATTGTACATTGGCTAATATGATTGTAGTTCAGTCTATTCTGCCATTGATTATACAAGTATATAATATAAATATAGAGGCTTGGGAGCGATAATATCCAGAATAACAAAACTTGAGCGTTTCATACTGATCAGTCGAGTTTTTCATAAGATCATGTAGACTAGTACGTTCTCTGCTTTTACGACGGTGTGCAACGGCTAGATAACTTCAAGTTATTTAACGGTTAAGCCTGTCGATGGTTTAAATTTTAAGAGCCGCAAACTATGTATAAAATATTTTTACATAAATTTGAAAATATTTCTTAAAAATAATCTCTATTTTTACCTTTTATAAATACTTACGGATAAGTCTTATGCATGGCAGACTCAATTGTCCGGGCAGCAGATAGTCACCTTTCAATATCGCCGCTTTCAGGCCGGGTATTGTGGGCGCTCGAAATGGCATATTACCGACAACCATAAAATAAAGCAAAATACCAAGCGCCCAAATATCCACCGGCGCGCCGACATAGTGATCATCGGAGAACAGTTCAGGAGCAGCATACGGGGGAGAACCACAAAATGTGTCCAGCTTCTGATTGGCACCTACACATGTGAGGTTAAAAAATAAAATAATTAGAAAAATCAAAAACTCGCACATACTTTTAGAAATAGGACGATACAAATATAAACGCATTATTTTTTATACTGTTACTTTATAATTTTACTGGTGATGCTTGGATAAACTATATGTACTAAATCTGTGGTTTCCACTACATTTTGCCGCAAACGTAGTGTCTTCTTTCAGCTCAACAAAGTGCTCTTGTGTTTTGAACTAACTTCCTGATGAGCTGATGACAAGTGCCAGCAAATGAGTAGTGTATAATTACAAAGTTATTCAGGTAAGTGGTATGTAGTGCAAACACGTCAGCGTACCCAAGGCAAGATATATTCAATTGCCATCCGTATATTTATAAGGCGAAGGTGGCATACATTAAGTTTTAAACTGTGGTCTCCAATAATTGAGAAAAGTGAAGTTTGTCCAGATAATTGATTGACTGCTGACAGTTAGACGAATCAACAAAAACTCTTGGTGAGAATAGTGTATAATTATTATGTCCATTAATTCGGTAATTCATAATTACACCGGATTTTTTCTATACGTGTGGTTTTTAATACGGCGATACTTCTTTTAGAGTCGGTCTTTTTGACAGCTGTTACTTGATTTATACTCAGTTTGATTCGCCATTTCATAATGAACAGACTTACTCCGGAACAACGTTTGCAAATAGCACAAACTTGTTAATAATAATGGTTCCGTTCGGGTTAAACATCGCGCCAATATTCGATCGACATAATCACTCAGCAGAGAAGGTAATTCGAGCAACCATGAATTGATTTTGCACCACGTTTACTCTAGTGGATAATACCCATAATCAGAGTCAGTGTACAGTGTAATACCGTGCGTACCGAAGACGCTATTGCTGCTATGGAGCAAAGTATCGAAGAAGACCCAAATAAGTCCATTTGCCAACGCATGCAACAATTGGATCTGTGCCCATCCACTTCATTGAAGATTTTGCGAAAGGATCTTGGTTTGCGGGCTTACAAAATCTAACTCGTGTAAGGATTGAAGCCGAATGATCATCAAGTGAGTTGCACGTTCGGTGAATGGGCCAAAATGAGATGACCACCGATCCTGAAACTCACTTTTGGTTGTATGGGTACGGTAATAAATAAAATTGGCGCATTTGGAGTGATGCTAATGCAAAAGACATTGTTGAGACGCAGTAACATCCTCAAAAAGTCTCTATTTGTTGTGCTCTATGGGCAGAGATAATTTCATATTTCTTCAAATATGAAGCCGTCCATGATGTTACAGTCAAAAGGGAACGTGTTATAGCCATGATTATTGACTTTTTCGTGTCTGTATTGGAGGATGTTAATGTGGACGACTTATGGTTCAAACAAAATGGCGCTACATGCCATACAACCAACCATACAATCAGTTTTAGAAAGAAACTTTGGAAACTCGCGTCGTGGACCTATGGCGTGGTTTCCAAGATTGTGCGATTAAACACCGCTGAGCTGTTTTTGTGGCGTTATGTAAAGTCGCTTGTCTACGCAGATAAGCCCAAGACGATTGACGCCTTGGAAGATAACAACCGGCGTGCTATTGCTGACATACAGCTCCAATTGCTGCAAAAAGTTGTCGATAATTTCACCTCTCGATTGGGATTTATTCGAGCCACAAGCGGCGGTCACTTTCCCGAAATCGTTTTTCAGAACATAATGGCAAACACTTATAATAAGGCTAAATTCTGGCCATAACATTAAATGGTATGCGTTTTATTTTTTTAAAAAACAACATGTCGAAAAAACACCCTATAAAATATTAGAGCTGTTCATGAATGTATAAGTTCGAAGAGACGGGTTAAATAACAAATATACCACAGTGTAACTACTCTAGTATTTCTGGGGTACTTAATTCGCAAAAAATCGCACTTTATTCAAAAGTAGTCTGGCGGCTAAATATGCTCAGGACCAAGCTATAACGTTGCGATTGCAATATCCTTCATGGTAATTGTATACAATACAAATCTTCCAACCGACTACCATTATTTGGCTCAAAATTTTTTTAATAATGTTGTGAATATTTCATTTGCTCATAACTTAAAACAAATAAACCGCGTTCTAGGTACATGAATTATTTGCAACAACAAAACTTTCTGAAGCATTTTTAAGAACTGAAATATTTCTCGCATTTCTCATAAATTTGCCCTCGCCATTTAAAGCGCCTTTGTTGAAACAAATTTTAATTTTTTACACTCACCAACAAACAAACACTACAAGCACACCATTGTCACTCACCATTGATAAGTTGTGTACTAAAACCGAAATCAGCCAGTTTCAAGCGATCCTCTGATAGCAGTAGCACATTTTCAGCCTTAATATCGCGATGCACAAAGCCCAAGCTGTGCTGTAATTTATCACCAAACGCCAGGCGTAGACGGAGGTAGCGAGAAAACATGCAAAAACAAAAATAAATACAAAATGTATGTAAGTAAGCAGCAGCGGGAGAAGAGTAGAAGGTAAACTGGGCAATAAGTACAGTGTCAGAAAACACAAATCGCAATTTAATGGACAACTGGTCACCACTATGGCCACATGGCCGAGTGCTCCCATAAGTGTGTCCTTTCGTATTGCCGCCGGCTGGTCGTCGCTGTCTGACTGCTTTCTGGCAGACTTCTGAATGCCTGCACACACATAAAGTAAAATATAATTGCCAGCTGCTTACCATGTGTTTTACGGCTAACAACAGCTGCTTGTACAAGGGCGCAGCGTGTATCTCCCGCAGCGGGCCACCCTGGGTGATGTGATTGTAGAGCTCGCCGCCGCGTATCCACTCGGTGACAAGATATACACGTCCCAATGTCTCCACCACTTCGAAAAGCCTGCGTCAGAGATAAAAGCGGAAAATAGAGAAATAAATGAAACTTATACAACAAGCACTCGTTTGCTCTATACTTATGTATATGCATACTATATAAAAGCTGATGCAGTGAAGAGCAGAACGACAGGTTAAAAGCGGGAGGAAGCAGCAAAGTGGCAGAGTCAACGTCAGATTTTTATGCCACTTTGCCGTTCGTCGTTATTTTTTTTCACTCGGTTTTTAAAAGCAAATGCATTTTACGCTGTTCCTTGCGAAGTAATGTATTCATATATGATTACTATACACTCTCATATGAGTATAGACTCTTTTTCAAATTCTGTCAAATAAGTAACGTTTTTTTTGAAACAGTTGATTGAGGTCCGTATTGCGAAATTGCTTAGCGGGGATGCACAGAAAAATTTTTAATTGTAGCACAAACGACTTTAGCTCCATGAACGTGTGTTTAATTTCGAGATTTCTATAGATTAGATTGGAACCTTGAAACAGCTCCAGCTGACAATGCCCTTCACTCTATACTCACTGAAAGTATTCATTGCTCAATTCTTACCTGAATCTTTGCAAAGTAACAATTGTTCTGCTCGGAGAATATTTTCTGTATTTTTTACGGAATGTACTAGATACAATGCCGACCACCTTGCAGCATTTTGCGACATGTCACTTTTTTCCAAATCTGTACCATATCTCAATTTCAAATCACTTAATATAAACATATTTCATCATGTGACACAAAAGACAAGTTACTTATTTGACAGGGTATACGTGCACAAATATACACCGATTTGCATGAGTTTCATAGAGCTTGTTTACCCCTTTTTTTGCAGTATCCGTCCATTTCCCCCCGCTTCACCCCTTACCTTAAAATATTGGGATGATGCACGCATTCGAGCGTCGCTATTTCACTGGAGAGCATACGCAACGCTTTTGCATCCAAGCCACCACGGTCAACTACTTTGATAGCCACTTTGTCTGCAAGGAAAAAAGAAATAAAAAAATAGGGCAAATCAAAGTGAATAAGAATAAAAGAGTGGAAAGACACACAAAGTCAGAATTGAGTCAGCTTTTTCTCGGCTGAGCCTTGAACAACAACCGATTGTACTGGCTTTGGCATTTACATGAATGGTACTCGACTTAATGGATATATGATTTGAGCGACTATGGACTAGCGACCATTTTTATGTGGATCACAGTGAAACTTCGAAACATGCCACCATTGAAATGTTTGGTGAACTTTGTGTAGTGCGCATTTTCTAATTTTACCATAATTGGTTTTGTTGTAAGACAAAGTCGTAATACTTCTTTAAGCATCATCTCTTTTTTAAGCGAGCGACAAAAAAATACTCGTTAAATAATTCACTTCAGTAATCGTAGTAAATGAAAAATCGATGTTACCAGTATTGTAAAATCTTTTAATGGTGATTTTATCAGAGTTTTACGTTTTCTGCATACTCGCCTACAAAAGAAGGCACAAAACTATTATCGCAAATACGAGCGCTTACCGCGTGTTAGTTGGTGTACAGCTAATTTGACTTTGGAAAAGTTGCCACGTCCAATATCGCCGCAAAATCTGTAAAGACCGATGCGCCGGCCGATGGTTACCTAAAAGATAAAATAAAATTGAATTAATGGTATGACTAAAATGTGATAAAAAAATATATTTGTATTGCCCTGACAAATTATACATCGGATCTTCATCAGCTTTCGAGAGTTGGCTGGACACTACTTTATGATGCTAATAAAGAACTGAAAGTCGTATAAGAAACCTAATTGAAATTATTCCGAAATTTTTCTCAAAAATAATTTTTTATCTATTCCTGAAAATGTTAGATATTTAGTGCCTCAGATCTAGAGGATAGGTTATCTAAAATTACGTTATATTTTCTACATCGGAATCTTTTGCAATATTTTTAATTTGTACACAGGACGTTTTAAAATTATTTGTTCGTTGTAAAAATTTTTTGTTTTAATTTTTTTTTTTTAATTTTGTGGCAAAATAAATAATATCTCAATAATGTGTTCAGTCGATTGGAGCAAAACTGACGAAGTTATAGCTATTTTTATCCCTGTATTATGAACGTGCTACATCAGAATATTTGCATTTCAAAGCTTTAAAGCGTTTCCCCACAACTCACGTTTTCATACTTGGTGCCTCTCATAACTTCAGAGCTATTGTACCGATCGTTTTGGCATTTTTAAAACTATTTCTACACATAACTTAAGAGGAAATTCTGGAATTTTCAAAATTATCAATAGTTTTCATTTTACAATAATAAATGAAACGATTTTTCGCAAATTCTCAAAAAAAGAAAAGGTAATATTTCGTAAAACCCCCAGTTTTAGCTAGACAAAGCGATTATTTAACAAAGGGTATATTAAGTCTGCCACGAAGCTTGTAACACCCAGAAGGAGGCGTCGAAGATCATATAAAATATATATGGTATATAAATGATCAGCATAACAAGCTGAGTCGATTTAGCCATGTCCGTCTGTATTTCCTTCCGCCTGTATATACGTAAACTAGTCCCTCAGTTTTCGAGATATCTGTTTGAAATTTTCCACAAATCTTTACCTTTTCAAGAAGGTACACATTTGTCGGTACTGCCGATATCGGAGCAATGAGGCATATAGCTACAAAATAAACTGAACGTTCAGGATCAAGTGCTTGTATGGGAAACTTTTTTATTTGAGAAGGGTATACTAGTGCAACTGAAATTAACGGTATTCCATATTTTTGTTTCAGATGATCTAGAACCAAGTTATAAGAGGCACCGGAATTGTATTTTTTCCGAGACGCTCCAGAAATTTGCTATCATTGCCGTATCGTAGAATGTTCTCCAAATGTCATACTATATAATACAACTGATTTTTAAAAAGGATTTTTAATTATAAAAAAAATGGGCCTCGTTTTACACGAATTTACCCGACTCCCCCCAAAGCCTTTTTGATAAATGTTATGTGACTAAGCGCAAGTTTGAATAATAATAATGAAACTAAAATATATATGGAGATCTATCAAATATAATTAAACTAAAAAAGACTTTGAGCGGCTTCATACCTTTATAGAAATAGTGGTAACGATGACGTAAATCGTAGCTCTATGTGCTTTCCGCAATAGCAAGTATCTTTTTGGATGGAAGAATAAGAGATAAGGGGTTAGTATTAACCCCCATATTACTTAGCAAATTAGTTCTGGCTTCCTATCCTGGAGGTTTTCAAGTCTATAGCAGCTACAGGCAATAAAGAAAGTGCGAGTCGTTGCAAGGACCAGCTGTCAAAAAAAATTGTATGTTGTTGATTTTGCGAAAAGGTGGAAAACTAACGGCGAAACGTATATTAATGCAGATTTCAGATATTTCTAAAATCTTAAAACTTGTATAAGCATTAAAATGCATATGTAAGTACAATAATATCAGTTTAGGAATCAAAATGAGTGTTGTGACTTTTGACAAGTGTACGCTGCTAAAAACTAATTTATTTTATTTTCTTTTAATTTGTAGACTTATTAAACCAACAAGAGATACGGATTGCCTTAAACTCTACATAGTAACTAAGTTAATTTACTTGTTAATATAAATACATGCTATGCACATATCTGAAACATTTTGTAATTGCTAATTTCATGCAACAAAGCTGCATGCAACAAACCTTAATACCCATGAGCTTACATGAACGCTTTTTATTCAATTGCATGCAACCCTACACATGTACCAGTATATGCAGTTTATACATATGCATATATCGTGACTTTAACGCCATGGGTTACTTATTAACGGTATCTAATAATTATTGATTATCACCTACGCTTGCTAAGTGAAATTCACATGAGTATTTTAAACATACACATTATATAAACATCAAGTATATAGTATGCACATACCAAAATAATTTTATACATGTTTGCAATGTGGGCATAAAGGAATTGAATTTCACAACACTCATACGCCCTGGCTTCAAATGCTCCCTGTGTCAAATCGTTGCTATGTCGCTTGTGCTTCTTACCCTCAGCCTTCTGCTGTTGACAACTTTAAAATGTCATATACTTGACACGTCATTTGAGTTTTCATATGCTGCAGGCGGAAGGGTATTTGTGACAAATTAATCAGGAGATTTCAAGGGATAAACTTTCGTTATTTCCGGGTTTTTTGTACCATGCTGTTCTGTCTCTAATATATACTTGTAATACATTTACGAAGGAGAGTATATATAGGATATACAAAAAACTCTCAAAGAGCTCTAAACACTATGGTATTATTATCTTCACTTTTATCAATTATTGCTACGCGTATTAAATTAAAGTGAACAAGTGGACTGTGTCGTTTCTTAAACTAACTTCTTATGGGATTTTGCCTACTGCATGAATTACTTGTAGATTATTGTTTTGGAGTTTACTTGCTTTACAGGTACTTCTTTAAATGAATATTTACTTTACCATCACACTGCAGTTGTTGCTTTCGAAGGTTATCGGAGATTTGAAAGCCTAAAGCCAAGTGTTGCCAATTTATCCAACACCTTTGCCACTGAACTGATCTTACTTATTGCCTTGTTTCTGGCTTTAACAAACTGTTACTGCGGCTTTACCTTTCTTTGTTTTATTTCCGTTGCTAGAGCTTTAATTGCTTCAGTCGCCATTTGCATGCATGGATCAAATTTGTGCGCTTGGTAAGGCTTATTAGGCCACCAGTCCTGCACGAAGGCAAAGATGGAAAAGAACAAAGTAAGCTTCCATATATAAGGGGTACAAACTGACGAACATGCCAACATTGTTGTTTAAGTACACATCATACGAACATTACCGTTATAACAATATTTGCACAAGTCGGTACACACTTAATCCAATAGAGGAAATTATACGTTTTTGATTATTAAATCTAAACGCCTCAGTGATTGCGTGCCGAGTGGGCGCCTAGTAACAGCCAAACGCTCAACCCATATTAGCCCTCATCCACCCTGTTGTGTCTGTGCTTTGAGCAAAGTTCTTACACTTCAACGCTCAGCATTTATTACCAAGGCAATTTGACAGCATGCTTTATTGCTGTTCCTATGCATTTTCGTCTATTGTTTTTGTAATTTCATAGCTTTGGCTTAACACCTTTGGGTCATGACTGTTCGACTGGTGTAATCGCCATCTTAAATGCATGCATGGATATGTTTTATGTGGGGGAACAGCGCACACAATTTGATGGCAAGGTCGGTGAGAAATGCGATTGTAATTCCTCCTGTAATTTTGAGTTTGAAACATTATTCCCGTTGTGATATACACGGAACCGTTTCTTCTATATTACAATGCTGAACATTTTTTGAACAGAAATAATATATACAATAATAATTTTTATAATCATTTAAAATCTTTCCGGCTTATGTAGATAATATTGCTTGAAAAATACCGTCAACTATAAATAAGTAAGCAAACTATAAACACTTTAAAGTCTTTTACATATTATAAACTATTATATTTTCAAGGACTTTAAGTAGCATTTTACAAAAAAAAAGGTAAGATTTTTAATAGTCTAAAAGGACGGAATTGCAGTTTTAGTATATCTTGATATCTCGCATTTTAAATTATGTAAGAAATGAATATGGAACTGGAATATGGTTAGACCTACTTATCAATACGATATCAATGTTAAACAAATCAGACCAAAATTCTATTACTTTTAAGAATTATTCATGAAAACAGCGAAATGTGTCAAATTGTTTTATTTGAGTATGAAATATTACGAAAGTAATATGTGACATATCATGTGACCATGATTCTTGGGGAGGTTGTACCGCTGCAATAAGCCATGGCCAATAAGCCGTGCCAAATTTCGTTAAGATACGTCTCCAAATAAAAAAGTTTTCCACATAAGGACTTGATTCGGATCGTTCAGTTTACGTGGCAGCTATATGCTTCAGTGATCTCATCTGCCCAATTTCTTCGAAAAGAAAAAGTTTTCCATACAAGCATATGATTACGATCGTTCAGTTTGTATGGCAGCTAATGCTATAGTTGTCGGCTATTGGCGGTTTCAACAAATAAGCAGCTGCTTAGAGAGAAAATATCGTGTGCAAAATTTCAGATCGATGTCTCAAAAAGTGAATAACTAGCTAAATTTTTACTATGATTCTACATATATATAACTTATTCAACATTGGAAGACCAACACCGCGGCGCGGCACTATGTATGTACATATGTACCATCCGCAAGAGTTTCAAATTTGGAGATCCTATGAATTCCTTTAATAATGTTAATATTTTCATAATTGTCTGTCTTATTTTTGAACTTAATGGCTTTTAATTTATTCTAAAATTGAAGAGATTTCAGAGAAAAGCATAAAACTTTACCTTCAACCATACTGAACACAGTAAAACTCGTTCATATAGAATAAATTATTATTGATTTTACACCAAAGCCGATTACCGTTACACGTGGACATAATTTGCAAAGCTTTTCTTATTTTTCGGTCCACTGTTTCTGCCTTCATTATGAATATATTGCTTAATTTTTGCTGCTTTATAGCATTCCGACAATTACGGCAATTGGATTTCGGTACAATAAAAATAAATACAAAAACATTTGCAAGCGCATTTTGTAATTCTCCTCACTAAGTACTTGCACTGTGTGGAAAAGCCTTACAAGTTCGACGAGCCTGACCGTTTCGACGTTCAAGTCCAAGTTCAAAGCTGTCGATGCGCCGCTATTTGTGGGGTTTGTCGGCATTGCGGGTTTAACGCACTTTCCTATATATTTGCGCCTAAGTACAGTCTATTAGGTTCATAGACCTCTTTTCTTGTCGTATACCGTTGCGGGAGTGTGTATTATAGGCAAATATCTACACTTAGTTATTGCACGAGGTATACGAATGAACGTAAGAAAATATAACGGTATAAATGAGAATTGCGCAATCGACCACAAGATATTGCCACATGTGCTTTTAGGTATTCGATACATGCATACATGCGTTTATCGGCCCACGATATGAAAACTTAGAATTCCTTTATGTATATTATGTATATGTCATAATCTGAATTAATGGATAGTATTTTTAATGGAATACATGTATTATATTCTCTGTAGGGAAACGGGTAGAAGTTCCGTTGGCTTCTTGTGGTTCACTACTGGACTGTTGGGCCTCAGGCCAAATCAGAAAGCGTTGGTAAACTACCAGCAGCTGTGCAATCGTATAGTCCTTATGGCCCAGGAGGTCTTTAAGCAAGGGTTACCTTTCAATGTTTGTAGGAGTTCTACCTTGACACTGCCCGGTCGAGATTCATGTAGTAAGATTAAATATCTTACCGGACGCCAGTATGGATGTATGGAAGAAGATGAGAATCTCAACACTTCTTTCTCAAATGTCCCGTCTTTGTCAGATCAAGGCAAAAACACCTCGTCATACTTTTAGACATCTAGGTGAAATAGGGGAAATATAAATAAAAAGCTTAAGCAGATTTGTGGTAAGTTCAGAGCGCTTTTGGCAATAGCTGAGATCCAACTACAGGAGTTTTTTCGGTGAGCTTCACAAAGGACTGTACATGTCAGTCTAACTATGATCTCCCGCTATGCTGAGGGATCAGTCATCTTACTTAACCTAATCTATTGTTTTGTAATAAAAATTTGATTTTAATAAAAATTTGATTTTTTTATTAAAATAAAAGTTTCAAGTTTCCATCAAACTCCTGAATGGTTCAAGATTAAGACAGGAACTTTTTAAAGAGACAACACCGTTTACACTTTTAAATATTATAAACTTTTCACTCAAGTTGATCCAAGAAACTAAAATTTTTACGCAACAAATTTATATTGAATCAGTTTGCTGAAGTCAGATTAATGGAATAAAAGTAACATGAAAAGCGGGGGAGAAAATCAACAACGTGTTAAAATTCAGAAGAGAAACACCGACTTGAGTACTTTAGTTTCTTGGTGAGTCATTGTTACGGGATCTACTTATACTTATTGGCAGAAAAACTTCAATATTAGAGTAATTTGTTAGCTCTTCATATTTAAATTCGCTATGGATCCAGAATTTTAGTCTTTATCTAATACATAAGAAGGCATTTAATTGTATTTCAATTGAAGTATTTGAAGAGAGATGACTTATTACTTTTTCTAGTACCACATCCTTCTGAAAATGTTTCGTTATTAATGACTTGAACATAATGTTGTTTAACCCCGCCTAACAACTTATTGAATATAAAACTTAACGCAATTGAGTGCTCCTAATTTATGTGTACCTTGTATTTCCTTATCCCATTTCTTTTAACAATTTTCGCTATTTATTTTAATTTCCCTCTTCATTGAGGTGCATAATTACCTCGTGTCCGCATCTTGGATCGCACTGCAGCGCTTTCGTTAGCCGCTGGTAGGGCGGTGTGGCGGGTGGACAGGGCGGCGGCACTAGCACTGACTCGTGATAATCACCGGTGGTATCCACGACTGCTGTTTTGTTGATGGCACCTTTTACACCGAAATACACAATGTCGTAACAAGAAACAAAGCAAAGTGCTAATACACCGTCAGTCGATGCGTTGGTTTGCGTTGAGTGAAAAAACGACGTTCCTCAACGGATAAACGCTAAGCTGGCGTGGGATAATATCAAACAAGATACTAATCGTTCGAAGGAATTCGGTGTGGGCAGAGAAGGTTGCCGTGTGTCCGCGGCGGATGTTCTTGGTTGCTGACAATCGCCTGTTGACTCTCCTAATGTTGTTGTTGATTTTGTTGTTTAATGTAGTTGTTATGGCTTTCTTTATTGCTGGCGCTATTTGCTCTATTTTCCGCCCTAATTTGTTTCTATTTTCCTTTGTTGTCGCTTGTTTGTTGACTCACAATATTTTGACTATTTTTTATGAGAAAAGTTGCTATTTTCCGTGTTATTGACAGTTTCGTCGTGGAACTCCTATGTATAATGGTTAATTTCAATTTGGCCCAACATCTTTCATGTTGCATTCAATTTTCCGCTACAACATCAGCGCATATCTTACTTAGTTCCTTTTTTACTTGATTGCTTGAGCGTATTACAAAACGGAGTAGCTGTACAGTACAGAGATGCAGGTTCCTCCACAGGTTTTCTTTTGTGGCACTTTAGTTTGAACACTCGTTTTGAGCTGAAATTAAATTAAATTATATGAAGTTCTTTGCAAAAAAAGATTTTGGTAGATATGTGTAGGTAAGGACTGTATATTACTCTGACGTATTAGATGTAACTGGAACCTAAGTCGAGCATAACATAGTTAATACATTCAGCTTGCGAATTTTCGATATTGAACTTTTGGAGACTAATTATCTTTTTTTGGGAAGGACTGATTAGGTTAGGTGATTATGGTAACCATTTTTATGAAATTTTATCTTATATTTTTGTTTTTTTGGTTCAAGACAAGGTTTAAATATACCAGAGATTTTTCCGCAGTATATAAATAAAAATTTCCTAAATTTAGGAAATCATTACTTGTATGTATGATACCATTTTCGGAGAAAATCATATGGTACAACATGCATGTGTGAGTTGGTATCAATATGGCAGGGCAAGCGTACATCCTAAATTTACATAAAGACCACAATTTATCTCTGCTAGTTGATCTATTTTTAGTTACACTCTACACTTGATGTCTCTTCAACAACTCACACCCACGCTTGTGTTCAGCTTGTCTTCCTAGAAACACCAGTAAATATTTTACGCTAAAAAACAACAACAAAATTTCAATAGATGATAGTTAGATGGTCGCTGGAGAAAATACATTTTATTTTTTACAAAATTATAAATAATAAAATCAGATTTATGTGGCTCACATAAATTATTCTAACGAGCGCAATTCATAACCATAACAGATGCTTTGCTTACACCGTAAAGCGTGAGTGTGTAAACTGCATCCGTTAACTCTCTTTTCTTTGCGCTTGCTTGACACTCACGTTGTAGTATTCTTAGAGACATAAAATATACTTACTCGCCTTACATCATAAGTGATGGGGAAATATTACACCATAGCCTCATTATACTCTCGCAACATGTTGCAACAGAGAATATAATGTTTTGCTCTCCTAACGGTTGTTCGAATCACCCTAACTAATTAAGACATATATGGAATTATATATGTATTATACAAATTATAAGGATGACAAGACGACCGTCCATCAGTCTGTGAAAGCGATAACTTGAGTAAATATTGAGATATCATGATGAACACATGTTCCTTGGCACCCAAGCCGGTTGGTAAGGGGCTTAATCGGAAAAGTGCAACGCCTACAAAATGCGACTAAACTAAAACTTATAAAGTGCCATAACTAAGCTCCACATTATGATTGAAAACTGCTATTTAGTACAACGATTCGCTTTGGGTAGGGTCCTCTGTGGTTTGAAAAATTTTGAAAAAGTGGTCGGCGCTCCGCCCTTTAATAGGTTAAATATACATTTTCGCTCAGGTCAAATATTTTTGGTATCTCCTAATACAGTGTGAAAATGGGGGAAATCGGATTAAACCACGCCCACTCCCCATGTTTCGATTATGTTGACAACTATTAAAAGTGCGATAATCCACTATATAAATGCGTCAGAAACATTAAATTTTACACCCAAGATGGTATGAGGGGCTTCATACCGAATATGTGAACCTCAGTGGCTGACTTAATGTCGCTCAATCTGTGAGATATATTATTGAAATTCGGAGATACTCTTTTCCTTATAATAATGCATCCTCGTGTCAAAATTATATAAAGTTGGGTCGATAAAAGGTTTTCGAACTTCCAACTAACTATATATACATATATATATACAATATATCGGCCAATCTGCAAGGTTTCTTAATGAAACTTATAGATCATCTTTTTCTGGGTACAATATGTCGTAATGCCAATCCCTAGCCTAGCTATCTATGATCTGTAATATATTTAAATAATAGACTAACCATGATTGTAATCCTTTCACCCTTTCCTCGAATTATGAATGTTAAATACCGAATTTATTTCTCTAGCTTTGAGCTTTGCGAGAATATATATAATGTTACCTCTACAACCACTTTTAGCACACTTGAATTCTGTGCTTTCCTCTTGAACTAAAGCGTTCTTAATATTTCGGTAGGGTACTGTATGTCTCTGCTTATAAAGGCACCCAAGCGTAAAAGTTCGCATAAAATCCTAAAAATGTGTGTGTAATTATATTAAAGGGTTAAACTTCAACAATAAACGCTTCCTAATAGGAAGATTACCAAATTAGCTTGATGTGTGTTTATGTGCTCATATATAGATATTTAAGTGCCTTTGAGAGGACGGAAAAGATTTCCAAGGCCTGCCAGAACATTTTAGAGATTATTTTTTACAATTGACTGAGCATTAAAAACATTTGCATATTATTCTACCAAAATTGGTTGGTTGCAAGTAATACAACATACATACATACGTTTTTTATTGAGAAAGTAAATTAAATTAAATTCTGGTCCAACAAGGCAAATAAAGGGAAGGCTAATCTGATCTGCATAGTCATGTAGGAAATTAATCATGCCATATTAGTATGTTCAAGGAATTTGAGTAGTAAAGAAGATTATGTGAGTACACAGGTATGAGTTTGTAGAGACTACCTCGCTTTGGCGGTAAGTAATTAAAGAATTATAAGGAGAGAGATGTTAGATGGCATAGAGATGGTTAGTTTGTGGCATTATGTCTAGATAAGTCTGTAAATTTAAATGCATATTTGTCTGACATACTACCTTATTTAGAACGCCAGTTTATTTATATTTTTTGTCTAATTTTGCGATAGTTGGTCTGCCTAGGAGGCCATTCACGAAGAGAGCGTGGAACATTATCGGTGAGCTTTAGAAATGCCCTCTTAATATGCCTGGGATGTGTTTTTGGTTCAAGCAGGCGCTCATATATCAATTTCGCTGAAAAAACAGATGTCGCTGAAAGGCAAAGAGATAAGATAGAAATTTTCTCACTTTCCGAAGTGCGATAAATATGATTTTTGTCAATTGCAGCTTCAAAAATATAACCGTATTTATATTTATACCATATTTTTGCATCCACTTTCATCAGTTGTAAACAAGTTGCATTACGTAAAAACACTCAATTTATTTTTTAACAAATACCAGCTATACTATGCGAGTGTATTGAAGTATGCTCTCAAAGCAAAAATAAACTCTGAAGTGACCCACTTTAATTGTATCGATTTGACATCATTTGTTTCGTAAATCGTTACAGTTAATTTCGTACAGTTTCAACGGCATTTTATTTTTTTGTTTCTCCTCTTAGCCGAAAGAATAAATTTTTCAATTTGGCCTAAATTTTTGTGAATAAAAAATTTAAATAAAGACACTTGCCTTCAATAAACTTATACTCATACTACATACATATATACACATCCCGAATTTTGTGCTACAGCATTTAAATGAAATAACTTTTGGTAAACCTCTCCAAATTCAATAAAGTGCCGAAGCAGAAATAATATTAAGAACAAGAAAAAAAGTTAACTTCCGTTGCACCGAAGCTATAATACCCCTCACAAATACAAACGGTTTCTTAGAAGAACTTGATTTCGATTGTTCAGTGTGTATGGCAGTTATAGGTTTTAGTGGTCCGATAATGGTCATTCCGATAAATGAGCAGATTCTTGGTGGGGAAATGAACAGGTGCAAAATTTAAGATCGATAGCTTAAAAACTGAGGGACTAGTTTGTATATATACAGACAGACAGACGGACATGACTAAACCAACTCAGCTCATCATGCTCATTATTTATGTGTATATTCTATAGGGTATCCGATGTTTCCTTCTGTGTGTTACAAACCCAGTGGCAAACTTAATATACCCTGTTCAGGGTATAATTAAATCATAGGCAAAAATAAATAACTGAACATTGCTAAAGAGTTTCCAGAATTAGTTATTTAAAATTAAATCAAGCCTAAAGAACTGAGATAATTGTAATGAATTTTCTTAGTATCCAAAAATAAAAATCCTACATAAAAGCGCACATTCGCTAAACTCAATACTAGTACTAATAGCCAAACTTATTTTCAATATCAATTTCAAGCAAATGCTTATAGAGCTCAGTCCAAGCACTCATGCACATTTTAATCTTTTCTAATATCAGCTCCATTTAAGCACTTAAACGAATTTTCTTTCTGTTTGTCATTTGCCGTTTCGCATATTTTATGCGGCTTCGTCGCTTTCACTGCGACAATAACAAGAAAAAATTTACTCTCATCAAATCTTGGCCCTATACTTACAAGCTTTTATATGTTAGTCAGCCACAAGTAAGTTTACTGTACAGGAGTAGATATTCACTATCACAAAAAAGTAAACCTGTATGTTTTCATTTCATTCATGATTTTCATGATTCAGTTCATATACAGATTCTCCTAATAAAATCCTACATATAATCAATAATAGCTAATAATTATTGATCCTAATGAAAATGATATTTAATTGTGTCAGATATATTTTCTATTTTATAGACCTTTTTTGGAGTTCCTAGACCAATGTTATAAGCTTAGTAATTCTTGAATTATAGAGCAGAAGCTAATTGTTATCCAATATAACTATTATTTTGCACTTGGTGGAACTTTAGATATAACAAGAAAAAACGTTAACTTCGGTTGCACCGAATCTATAATACCATTCACAGAACTTGATTCCGATGGTTAAATTTGTATGCCAGCTTTATGATATAGTAGTCTGAACATTCGGAGAATACATTGTTGCCTTAGACAATAACTCATGCCTACTTTCGTGAAGATATCTCGTCAAATGAAAGAGTTTCCCACACAAGTACTTGATTTCGATTGTTCAGTTTGTACGGCAGCTATATGCAATAGTGGTCCAGTTCCAGAAATTTGGCATGATTTATTGCATAAGACAATAGTGCAATCTCCGGAAAAAAAATGTTAATATCGGATCGTTATAACATATAGCTTTCATTCAAACTACACGAACCAGATCAAGTTCTTGTAAGGAATTTTTTCTATATATGAAGGGTATTAAAGTTTCGGGACAACCGTTAACGCTTTTCCTTGTTTTTATACTCTTGCAACTTGTTGCTACAGAGTATAATAGTTTTGTTCACCTAACGTTTGTTTGTATCACCTAAAACTAATCAAGATAGATATAGAGTTATATATAT